GGGGTCAAGAAGAGGCATACCCTCTCTGAGATAGGGGACAGAAGTTAGTGGCTGAAATTTTCTGAAAAGTTTCCTTCCTTGATGCTTTCAGTGACCATGATATGGCTGATCTAGATCCAAAATTAAAAAAAAAAGTAGGTAATTCCTTATTTATTTATTTATTAAAGTTGTAGATGACACAATACCTTTATTTTATTTGTAGTTATTTTTATGTGGTGCTGGAGATCGAACCCAGTGCCTCATGTAGGTTAGGCAAGCGCTCTACCACTGAGCCCCAGCCCCAGCCCTGGATAATCCCTTTTTTAAAACATGAAAATTCAAACCCTTTCTCTATAGCAGATGAAAGACACCTACTGCGGTCCATGTGTAACATGAGGGTAGCGTTACAGGAGCCTCAGTGGGACCTGAGGGTATATGAAGTAGAATTTTGGAATCTCCACTCCAGTAAGCCTACTACTAGAAGTTGGGTCACCTCTCCTGCTCCAATAAAATGGCCACTGTCTGGCCACGGCCACTTGTGTGGTAGTGCGGTTTGTATCCTGTGCTCAGTGCATCGCCAAGGGGGCACTAAGGGCTAAAGTCCAATCCAATCTCCTCTGGCCAAGTCCAGCTCCCTGGGCTGGGGCTGATTCTGCAAGGAGGAAAGGGTACTTTTTATGTTCCCTCTGCCCAGAAGGGTGATAGTTTTCTTCACTGACACAAAGTCTTAGATGCTGGCAAGGTCCAGGCCTGAGGCTGTGGATGTTCCTGGGAGAGCTTCAGACTTCATTCCTGCTCCTGTCTTCCTGGTCCTTGTGTCCCCAGGGCTTGCACAGCTCCTGGCAGTCCCTAGGATCAGCTTGAGGAGCAGTATCACCAGAACTGTCATGTCTGCTGTGGACTTGAAGCAGGGAGGCAGGCGGGAGGCTCTGAGAGGCCTCCTCTGTCCCCGCTGAGAAGCATCAGGGTGGGTACCCTTTTCCAAAGAACTCAGGAGTAGACTGGGCTTGTTCCTTAGGCTCCTCTTCCTCTACTTGCCTCCTTCACTCCAAGGAGAAGACTCTAGCTTCTTCACCTCCAAGGCATTGGGGACTGGGTTCATTTTCCTTCTCAGGTGAATCTGCATGTTAAGCATAATCAGAAAAGTCTAACACCCAAAGAAATTCCTGGAATTCTTAGTTTGGGAGTGAACTCCTGAATGCTTCGCTTTGATTTAAACTCCCAACCTGAGCAGTCTCAGGAAGCAAGGCTGCCCCTTCATGCAGGCCTGGCCAGGAGTGCAAACAGGGGCCTAGACCCTTTGGGCACACATTCGAAAGTTAGACATCAAACTAAAAAATAATAAATAAAATGTTCTCTGTTCTTCTATCTTGACAAATCAATGACACCATCCAAGAATATTTGTAAAGCTGTGGTGTTTATATGATGAAAGGTAGCAAGAATATCAAAGATGACTGAATTTAACTATTATTGCACATGTTTGGGGAGCTAGTGACACTTTGTAGGAATGATAAAAGACACCTGTAATTCATGATTTATTCATTTATGCTACAATATTTCTTCTACTTCCTGTATGCCAGCAAAAATCATTATTGTTACAATAAAGGTTTTTGTATACTTTGTGTTCAATTGATTGCAACAATTTAACAGATTAAAAGTAAAATACAGAGGCTGGGATTGCGGCTCAGCCTAGAGCACTCACCTAGCGCCGATGAGGCCCTGGGTTCGATCCTCAGCACCACATATGAATGAAATAAACATAATGTGTCCTTCTACAACTAAAAAATAATAAATATTAAAAAAATTAAAGTGCAATTGTATTCAAAATGCTTAAAATTTGAGTATATTTTCACTAAAATATAAAGTGAACGTTAAATTTAAAATTATAATTACTTTGCACATTTTATTATCCTAAAATATTATATTATCTATTAAATTAGAAGTCAAAATGAAAAATAACAATGCTATCAACATTTTAAATAAAATAAGTAAAGCTGAACTTTAAAATTTAACTTTTAAAATGTTTTATTAAATCTTTTAAAATGGATTTATTAATTTATTTTTAGAAGCTATTTATTTATTTAATTATTTATTTTTTTCATCTGTGTTTTCACCCATGTTGTAGCATAGATCAGTACTTCATTCCTTTTTATTGCCAAATAATGTTCCGTTGTGTGGACATACCACATTTTGTTTATAATTCATCAGTTTGACAGACATTTGAGTTCTTTCCACTTTTTAGCTATGAATAATGCTGCTATAAACATTTATGTACATATATTTATGTACACATGTATGTCAATCTCTTAGTATGTACCTAGTAGTGAATTGCTGAGTCAAACATTAACTTCATGTTCGCCCTTTGAGGAACTGTTAGACTATTTTCCAAAGCAGCTATGTCATTTTACACTCCCATCAGTAGTACAACAGGATTCTCATTGGTCCACATTCTCACCAACACTTACTATTATCTGTTTTTATTATAACCATCTGAGAGGATGAAAAGTGATATCTCATTGAAATTTCCCTAATGACAAATGATAATAGTTCTTTTTTAATTGGCTATTTCTGAAAAGAGAGGAAGAGTACAAATGTCTGTGAACAGCCCCCTTTATCACTATGGTCAGGTGTTTAGACAAGAGGCCAATTCATGAACTGTAAATATGAAAAAGGAGGGTGGAACCCCACTTCTCAAACCTGCAGGCCAGGTTCTCAGTACTTCTACTTGTCAGGAAGCTCTCATCTTCAGTGAGCTGCCTCCTCCTCCTCCTCCTCCTCCTCCTCCTCCTCCTCCTCCTCCTCCTCCTCTTTCTCTTCCTTCTCTTTCTCCTGCTTTTTTTCTAATCTAAAATCTTTTCCTGAATCAATTTTCCTTCCTTCCTTCCTCCTTCCTTTATTTCTTCCTCCTTTCCCTCCCCTTCCTGAAACTTTTGGTCACTAAGTCAAGCTTTGCTCTGAAACAAGGACAAACTCCACAGATGTATTTTTAAAGACAAGCTTTGGCAGCCCACTAAACAGTTGACATTTTCCTTTCCCTTTTGAATTACTGAGTCCACCTGAGGTATGCAGATGTGGCCAAACTTACAGGTTCCCCTCACCCCTCAGACAACTCAGCAGGAGTTCTCCTCTGGGAGTAGGGGAGGTAGGTAAATCCGTTGATAGGGAATGTGGGTAGAAACCAAAAATCTGGGCTGAGGGGGCATAGGTAACTTGAAGAAACCTTAGGAAATACCTTAGTTTGGGTTTGGTCACTATATTTGTTTTGAAATTTCAAATCATTTAAAAAAGAGGGCATATGCATTTTTTAATTTTGCTACAAGGAAACAAGCGTTAGAAATATGTTGAAAAAAATGTAGAGAATGCAGTCCATAAAAACAGGAGCTCTGCCCTCCTCCTTACTGAATTAAAAAGACACATTTAGCTCATTTCCTTCAGCCTGGCACATGTTGGAAAGGCACCTGCTATTGCCGTGTGCTCCTGAGATTGCATGTGTACTTCTCTGGGGTTAGTGCTGGTTGACCCACCCCGTGGTCCTCAAAGAACTTTGTCTTCCCTCTCTGGTTCACCATGTCCCCATTTCTCCCACTTTAGACCTCTAGAGAAAGAAGATTCTGGAACCCAACCTTCTGCTGGTCTTATCTATGTTCCCTCCTAGACCTGGAGGCAGCCCTTTTTGTGTTATGGGCCAAATGCCTCTCTCCCCACCCCCACCCCCAGCTTTTTTTTTTTTTTCCATTTCTTTCATCCCCTAACCAAAGTGAGGGCTTGCCCCTTGAAGACACCTGCCCTATCCTTCCTGTTCTTGCACTGCGTGGCCCTCGATCCCCCACAGTTTTTGCACTGGGCTGTCCCCTTTGCTTGCAGCCGCTGTCCTCCAGTGGCTCACTCCCTGTCATTACTCAGATCTCAGCTCCCATAACACTTCCTCTGGAGGCCTTCCCTGATGTCCTCAATCGCAGTTCAGTGACAGTTGGGACTTCTGTCTGTTTTGTTCACTGTAGTGTTCCCAGCATCTGGAACAGTGCCGTTGGCAGGCACTTGATGGATCTTTGCTGAATCGTTAGGATAAAGCAGCTCTGTTAAAAGCACCAGTTGCATAATCTCTGCCATTTTGTGTTAGGCAAAAAAGGAACGAAGGAATGAACAAAGAAAGGAGGAGCGGATAAGAGAGAGGGAAACAGAGCTCCTGGCAGAGCAGAGGACAAAATGACAGCTGGAGAGAAAATAGGAAATGGGAACTGAAGCCTGCTCTCACTTTCCTTGAGGTGGTAATTGCTTTGTGCTGCCATGAAAACAAAAACTAGGCTTGACTTAAAGAAAAAACACATTTTGGAAGATACCAGAGAAGGTTTCCAGTTTTTGTCACCAAAAATTAAGAAAAAAAATGGTTCGATAGGTGTCAATTCCTACTGCACATTAAACAATCTCTTAAACATATCAGCATAAGAGGGATCCAAATTCAAGGGACATCATTTTGTGGGAAGGAAAAATAAAAAAGCAGTCCCTTCTACAGTGCACATTGTTTCCTGAGGCCTTTTGGCTACCTCTAAGGTGCTTTGTTCCCAGCTGAGTGACTTGCCTGTCACAGTAGAGACCGACAATACATAAAGGATGTTCCCAACTCAGATCCCCATTGTGCAATCACCCTTGATTTCTTTTGCTAAACTGGATCTTCAGCTTCCTTTGCCAACTGAAATCAAGTGTGTTAGGTCACGGCCCAACTATGAAATAGTCTCCATGCTTGTTTTTCTTTCTCCTTTCTTATCCTCTGTTTAGTACTTGGAACAAGTCAGATTATAATTATGAGGAACTGAGGCCTCTTGCTAGCACACTGAGGCTGAGCAATGCTTCTAGTATTGTTGAGACTCCCGGTGTCAGCCAAAGGTATTAGTCATGTGATTGTTTGGGGTATGTAATCATCTAAGACTAAAATGACATCCCCAGAGTAAATTACACCGGAATTTAGCAACCCTGCAGTGTAGGACTTGCCAAGCAACAATGAACTAATAGCTCCGCCCCCTTCCTATGCTCCATATGATTAGCATTATTTTTCTAGTGGCTCTTGTTTGAAACTAAAGAGGGACCTCATCCAGTTTTGGTACAGGTAAGTGCCCAGAGACTAAGGCTCCCTAGATGTGAAATTTTTACAGCGACATGTTTTGAGTTTTCTTTCTCGATGTAGTTGATGCTTTAGATCTCTGTACATGCTGTTCTCTCACCTCTGGCTTTTGATATATGATGTCCCCTCTGGAAGGCCCTTCTCCTTGTCCTCCCTTTTGCCCTTGTATATCTGGTGGGCTTCCACTCATTCAAAATGCTTCTCCTGAGTGCGTTTTCCTTTACCTTCCACTGTCCTGATTATAACTTCACTTGTCTTCCAACACTCTAACTTGTATATCCCCTGCATAGCCTGTGTCACATTATACATTAATTATTTTCATATGGAAATTTGTGAAGGGCAGAAACAATATCTCCACACCCTTGTTTTCCCAGTGTTTGGCAGAGTCTTGAAAATAGTAAGCCCTCCACAAATGTTGGTTCCCTCTTTCCTTCTTCAATTATTTATCCTCATTGTCATGCGTGTTCTCAGTTCAAAATGTAATTAAAGTTTTATTAAATTTTAGATCACATACTTTGAAGATATATATTATTAAGTACATGTAAGTTTAGAGTTCCTGTATCTCTCTGATGAATTAAAATGTCTATCAAAACACAGCGACTCTCTTTGTTCCTAATAATGCTTTTTATTTTAAACTTACTTGTCTGATGATCGTAATAGCTACACTGATTTTTTGAGGGGATATTTTCCAGCTCTGTTTTTCCTTCTTCTTATATTTCTACTTTCTGTCATTTTTGGCTCCTATAGTTTGGCAAGTCTTTCATAAAATGTATATATTTGGATTTATAAGATTTTTAAATTTAATATTTCCTTATCTTTAATAGGTGAGTTAAATCCACTTACTTTATTATGATTACTCACCTTTGGATTTCATTTCTATATTTATTTATTTATTTCTATATTTCATTTTGTGGTTTCTGTTTGTGCTGCTTTCTCTGTGATTCCTTCTCTCCAGCTTTTTCTCGTGGTGTACCACACTTAAACTTTGTGAGTCTTCTTTTCCACAAACATGTTTGATGTGCTTCTCATAGGGGAGGATCAATTGAAGTAGGTTCCTATGTTGTTTCTTCCTTTAAGTAGGAAAATGAGAAGATTCCAGGGGATATTTAGAATTATTCATTGCATCATCAATAAAAGGGAATAGCTAAAGGGGAGACTTGGGGAAAGAAAAACAACCAACTTTTTATTTCTTAACAACTCTCACTGGGACTAAGGCAGTTGAACAACTAGGCAGCTAGTTCCCAAAATGACGAGTGGTCACGGTGTGCAATTCTGGATACAGAAGCATGGATTTTGCAGTGTGTCTGCTCCCAGGGGGAGGGTGGTCACTACAGGGAAGGCCTTGGGAGCTCAGTATGCTGTATGTGTTGCATGACTTTATGTGGAATCAAGTCTCCCAGGTCTTGTCTCCATTTAATCTGCAGCATAAACCTCAATCTTTCAGTATGCCATGATGGTATTTGACTGCTTGGCTCAAATCAATCACAAACAGACACAAAGGGGAGCCATTAAATAGTATGGCAGGACTCAGTTATAATTGCACTGCCTGATAATGCAAAATACAATTAGATGGATCTTTTTAAGGATTGTTACTTAGGTAAAGATAAACAATTTTAACATAGTGTATTGCTTTGTAGTCTCACTTTTAGATTTTTCCCTGTGGTAACAAGTATGTCACAGCAGTTAATAGTCTCGAATGTGGGGTTTCATACAGACTAGGTTTTGAGTTCCTTGTACTAGCTACATGATCTAAGGCAAGTATTTAATCAATCATGCTAAACTTCAGCTTCCTCATATCTTAAGTGAGGTTAAATTTATAAATAGAATGGTCATGAGAATTTAGTAAATTAACACACAAAGCCTTTAAAGATAATAGCTGTCTTTTAATTTTTTTATTATTATTTTTATTAATAAGGAATTCTTTGAGAAGGTATAGGGAGGAAATCTGAGATGGAACTGGGTCTAGATAAGCATTGGACTCTTTGCTTCAGATATTTAACCTGAATAGCATGGATAGCCCTTCAAACTTTCAAGATGCGGGCTGGGGATGTGGCTCAAGCAGTAGTGCGCTTGCCTGGCATGCGTGCGGCCCGGGTTTGATCCTCAGCACCACATACAAAGATGTTGTGTCTGCCGATAACTAAAAAAATAAATATTAAAAATTCTCTCTCTCTCTCTCTCTCAATCTCTCTCTTTAAAAAAAATAAAATAAATTTTTCAAACTTTCAAGATGCCCCAGGAGGTCAGGAGTGTGACTTATACCCTCTTGCATACCATCCGGAGCTGGCAGATATCAGGGGTGCTGGTAAACACTTGCTTTCAGAGTGCATGGCTTCTGTGATAAGGCCAGCATGATCTCCTACCCTCAAGTCCTGTTCTCTTCAACTCAGGAAGCTGTCAGGTACTTTACTTCTGGAGTTGGGGAGCATCTGCGCTGGCCTGCTGAGCACAAATTGGGAATTCATTTCCTGTGTGATCAGGATTATCTGTAGGTGACATGTACCACTGAACTCAGTACTACTAACACTGTCTGAAATGAGACCCTGAGGACCTAACTTGAGATCTCAACCCTATAAATAACATGCTTCACCCTGGGAAATGTGTTCTCAGTTCCAAATAATCAATTTACAAATAAAACACTGAAACATAAACCACTAGGAAAGCGGGGCTACATCCTTCCCATCTGTAGTGCAGGAGGAGGAAAGAAACTTCCACAGACCAATTGAACTGTAAGAATATTTGGGCACTGCACAATTTTCTGAATGGAAGTTAGCCAGGACAGAGATGAGCAGTTTGTTGAAAAGAGCAATATTGGCTCCTTAGTGGCTATCAAATGATAAGGACATGGAATTCAGTATGGTCCCGCAGCCACCCTGTGCCTTTTATTCCTTGGAGAGTTTACCTCAGAGGAGAAAAGGACATCTTCTTGCCCAGGGCTTTCTGGAAGCTTCTACAAATTGCCTAGAGGGAGCCTCTGTGCCTATGCTTCATCCCCCCCAAATTGGCCTGCCCAGTAACAGCTCTCCTAGTTCTCCTTGCCAAGATCTGTCTCCAACTGCCTGTCACACTTTTTGTTTGACTGCCCTGGGCCTGGATCTTTCATCAGACAGTTAAGTGGTAGATGCCAAGAGTCTACTATGGCTCAGGATGACTCCAAGCTCTGTGAAAGAACAGAAGAGACAGGATCTGCTCTCAAGGAATTTACAAACTAGTTTGGGAAGCCATCTATCCTACCCAGCAAAACACAGTATTCAAGTCAGCCCGCCCTGATCTGAATCTACCATTTCTTAGTTATGAGCTTTGAATCTCAATGTTTTCATCTGTGAAATGGGGATAAGTATAGCTATCTCATATGGGCGTCATGAGGACTGTGCACCAGATAAAGCACTTAGCAGTGCCTGCACAAATTAAGTGCTCAATAAATGCTAGCCATCATTATTATCATTATTTGGAAATTTTAAAAAAATGAATTATCAACTAGTCCCAGCTGTTAAAGGAACCTTATAACTCTTTCCTCAACTCCCTGCTGAATCTTTTCAGACCTGGAGAAGGAAGCAATGCTGTTGGGTCACAGCAATGGGCAGGGATGAACTGGTGCAAGAGGGGCTTTGGGGACCCATGAAGAGCTGCGGTTGACCTCTGGCGAAGGCAGAGAACTGTCTTGCTCAGTTCTGCACCACACATCTTTCTGGGCTTGGAAACTAAATAACTGGAAGTGATTCTGCTTTGAAGAATCTGCAGCTAAGTGAGAATTCAAGACACACAAGGTGTAGCTTTAACACAGCCATGAAGATGCTTATTAATGAAAGAGAACAAAATGACATGGTGCAAACTTGATGGACCTACGAGGAACATTTGGGGCAGGAAATGCTTATTGGTAGAGGTCTAAATTTTGGACTTCTGAGTAAAATTTTCCAGACCTGTTAATACCTCCTGTAGCTCTTCTGTAACAATAGCCATGGGGCCCTGTTCTTACCTGTGCCCCTCCAAACCTGTCTCTTTGTTTTCTGGGTCTGTTTCTCTCCCCAGACAAACTGTAGTCAGGAAACACATTTCTGATCCTGCCCACAGACCCAGTGGTTTTGGTGAAAGGCCAGAGCCTTGGGGTCCGGTGTTTGCTTTCATGGTTTGCAGCAGGCACTGGAGGAGTGGTGGGTGGTGACAACTTTCATTCCAGGCAGCTGCTAACTGGGCTTTTGCAGAGGGTGATGTTTACTCTGCAGGTTTAATGACGGTGCTGGCTTTCTGGGAGTGGCGTAATGAAAGAGATTCAGACAGAGGTCGGCATGAACCTCCTCCAGGCAAGGCTGCCCCAGCCAGCAACGGAGAGCAGTTCCATTGAGCCTGGAATTCCAGTGTGAGACACAGCTTTTGTCAGAAGGTTTTTAAAACCCAATGACTGTGTCACTTTGCCCTCTGGATAAATTGTGTGAGTTCGGCAGCAATCACACCTCCTCGCTTCATTAAGTGACAGTGAGAAGAAAAACAAATGCAAAACGAAAAACACGACTGTGAAACTATTTTAGTTAAAACTATCCTAGTGGAATTTGATGGTACCATTGAAATTATCAGCAGATCGAAAAAAACTGAAACCCAGAGAAGGAAAGCATCTGGCCTGAGATCACACAGCATATGAATACAAGAGCAGACTGAGATCCAGGCTTTCTGGTCCTATTCCCTTTTATTATTCTACATCTGTTGACAACCATGAAGAATTCTTTTTCTCTTTCAGTGGATTCTTCTTTCTTCCAGAAGCCTAAACAGAGCCAGGATGATCCAGGAAATTCAGGGAATCCTAATTCACTTTCAAAGCCATGTTGCTTTCTGTTAGCCAGGCCGTATGCATTGCTGTTTCAATTAAGTTTCTCACTGTTTCATATGAAAGCTTGCAAATTACCACTGGTTCTAAATAAATCAATTTAGGTATTCGGGGGTTTATAAATATAGAGAATCTTGCTTTTCCTCTCATTCTCTCTTCCCTGGCT